TACTTCATCATAACAACATTATTGAAAGTAACAATTAATTAATTCCCAATTGCTTTCTTTTGTTGAACTTTTACACTCTTACATAAAAATGAAATTTAATTTTTTTATTCCTCAAAAAAAAAAAGACGACAAATTAAAAAACAAATTTCAAAAAGAAAAAAATTTTAAAAATTTAAAAAATTTTTTTAAAATCTTTTCAATGTTTTTTTTTTTTTTGGATAAATGTAATAAAATTAAAATTAAACAAATTTTTTCATAGTTAAATTGTATTAATATAATAAATGTTAATAATTTACAGGTTTAGCATTTTGCAACAACATTATCGAAATCTTAATATTTGTGGATAAAATTGATAATAGCGAAAATGAGAGCGCATTTGAGAAAAGTGTTGAAATTGCGAATATTTTAGTCTCATTGAATTCATCAACATCAATTTTCATCTACCTCATCTTCAGTTCAAAATATCGTACTATTGTAAAGGAATATCTTGGCTTACAAAATGTTGATAAGGTATGAAGTATTAATTTGATAAATATTCTCATTCTACTTTATCCATTATCGTAGTAATATTTGTATCAAATTTTTTAATTTGTTTTCAAAATGTAAAAAATTTTTTTTAAAAATTATTAAGATTTTAATTTTAATTATTAGGATAAGATAATGTAATTTTTAATGTAATTTAATATTTATGCCATCTTTTGATAATATCAATGAATTAATGATAAGATGAAAATTACAATTTTATAATTTAATACTTTTTAAGGAATTATAGAAAGTTTTTCTTTTTTCTTTTTTTTTTATTGGTACTTATAGTAAAAGTATAAAATTATTTATTTTACTCTAAAATTATCGTTTATCATGATTTGTTAATTCGAAATCCTAAAAGTTTTTGCTGATATACAGTGTATATCGTATTCTAAGTATGTATCGTATTCCTTGAATAAATGAATAGAGCTATCACCGCTTAGATAAAATACGGTAGCAATTGAACCGGTAGTAGAAATGAATAGTAAAAACAAACAGTTCAGACAAAAAAATATTAGTAGGAAAAAAAAGAAATCAAACCTTGGACCATATATTTTACATATTACAATTCAAATTGCTACGTTTAATTTTATCAATAAATCAATAAATCAATTGATTAAAATTTGATTTATTAATTAAGATGAAAAAATTTATCCATCATTTTGTTTAATTTTTAACATGCATAGAATTTTAATTTGTTTTTTTTTTATCTCTAAAAATTTTCAAAATCAAATTTTCAAATATGTACGATAGAATATCATCTTGAAAATATTTATCAAATTTGAAATATTATAAAAAGAAAAAAGAAAAATATTTTATCAAATGATAACTTTTTTTTTTACCTTATAACTTTAAATGATAACTTCCAACTTTATCAAATGATATGCTTTTTTTTTTCCATCACATTGATAATTTTATTATTTTATAGGCTTATAGTGGTACATTATCAGCAGCAACAATTACAGTACGACATACATTTGATTATCCATTCCTTATGCATGATAGAATATCATCTCGAGGATATTTATCAAAATCAACAAAATCTCGTCTATCTACCACATTACGTTTTCCAATTTCATCAAAACACATTTGATAATAAATAAATTGCTAATTAAATGAAATTAACATTAAACGGGTAATTATCTTTTTCTTTTCTTTTTTTTTTTTGTTTTCAATAAATTATTTTGTAATTTTTATCATTGATTAAAATATTTTACATTATTACAACAACAAATAACAATAGAAAATGTTTGATTTCAATTAATACTGGCAAAAATAAATAGCTTATTTGAATTTAATAATAGATTAATTATCAATGGTTAAATTAAATTAAATCATTTTATCAGTACAATTATTGGTAATTAATTTAATTAAATCACCAATCCCTTTGCTATGTTTTCTTTAAGCTAAAATAAATAATTTTATTTTAAAATTAAAATTTAATCGGTAAAAAAAGAAATTAAATTGGAATAGATACACTTAGAAAGTTTCAAATTTTACCTTTTTTTCTCTTTTTTCTTCTTATTACTTTCAACTTCTATCGGTTTTTATTTGAAATAACATAATGTATAATCAACCAGTCATATGTATTATTGGAATATTGAGTACAATTTCCATATGCAATTGAAAATTTGCGAATATTTTCTTCCAATTCTACCATTTCAATAATTTTATCATTAAAAAAAAGGAAAAAAAAAGAAAAAAATTAAAGGAAAACCTGTTGACCTGTTAATTGTTGTCATGGAAAGTTTTTTTTTTTTCTTAAAGTCATGATCTATGACCTATGAAATCAGTTATCTAATCATAAAAATATAAAATTGTTAAATATAATTCAACAAAAAATGCACTTAACTAACAATATGAAAAGAAGGAATCAAACTTTTTCTAGAATACTATGATCTATGATCTATGTAAATTATCCATGATTTCTAGTGTGATCTATGATCTATGAGTTGAATTATCTAATCATAAAAATATAAAATTGTTAAATATAATTCGACAAAAAATGCATTTAGGTAAGAATATGAAAAAAAATCAAACTTTTCCAGCATGCTGTAACTTATGATCTATGATCCTATGAACTGTGTTACCTAATCATGAAAATATAAAATTATTAAATATAATTCGAACAAGAAATGCATTTAGCTAAGAGCATGAAAAAAAATCATTTCTAGCATGCTGTGACCTATGACCTATGATCTATGAATTGTGTTAACCTAATCATGAAAATCTAAAATTATTAAATATAACTCAACAAAAATGCACTTGATTAATAATATGAAATGGGAAAATGTTCCAAATTCTTCCACAGAATGAATTATTTAACTGAAATAATCAACTGGAATATATTTGAGACTAATAATTAAAAGTTAATTGGATGAGCTAATTAATTTATTTTTTACTTTTTTTTTTGAGCGAT